ATTGCTCCATTGATGTAAGCAGGGAATGCACAGTATTAGCTTGAGAGAAAGAGGTAAATCCTATCAAAGTGCAGACCAGAGAGAGGCAATGTAAAAAGTTATAGGCAAGAGATGATGGTCAGAATAGACACCATCCAACTACAAGGGAAGATCTAGTTGGAGGATAAGCCAATAAGATAACGAGGTATCAACTATTCTGTCAGAGTCATCGGATAATGAGTAATGCTGAACCTGTAAGAAGTTTTTTTTTTTTTTTAAAATGAATTTCTGTGACATTGGCAATACCAGCATTTAATACACATCCTTAAGGTAGTGTTGAACAACCTTCTTGAACTGAGGTAGTCCAACTAGTGTAGGCATACCTGAAATGCTATTGGGGAAAGAAGTTCCAGGTTTTGGACACAATGACAATGAAAGTAATGGCAATTTATAGCTTTAATAACACCAAGCGGATTAACTAACCATTTATCTTATTGTTGCTTGCAAATTATGAAAAACTGTGTTTGAGGAAAATAATAACTACAGTTCAACTGAACTTCAAAAATGCATTTTGCTATATTCTAATGACATGAAGAACACTATTGGAAATACAATTTGTTCTTTTATTTCTGGCGATAGTTTGGCTTTCTCCAATGAATCTCAGCATTTTGGGGTAGTCTTTTAATTGAATCCTTGTCATCTTATCTGTAAATGCATTCATGCTAGAAACCTAAATACTAAAAAAATGATGCCAGGGAAAAATGACAAGTTCAGCTTTTCAGCATTGTCTACCTCTGAACATACTTCGTGGCCACAAATTACTTGAGACTTGGGGATAAATAATATAACAATTATATTTGTTAAGTAAAGATATAAGTTACACATTAATGCTAGTATCTGATTCAATCCAGTCTTTGAAAGAGTAAATCAATTGTAGGCATAGGCTGTTAGCCAGCAAAAAGTACAAGGCAGGAGGAAACGTACTGGAAACTCTGCAGATTAGTAACAAATACAAGAATGAGGACAGTATTGTCATCCATCAATATCTGAAATGAAAATAAAATTTTAATATTCCATAAAGACCACCTAAAATATTAACTCGGCTTTTCAGTTAGTGATAGACAAACTGTACAGAATCAGAAAAATAAAGTGCAGAGGAGGCATTTGATCCAATGTGCCGAGTTATTGGACTGTTATGTTTTCCCAAAAGTCCTCCTTTTTTTTTCCAGTTCAAGTATTTATTTAGTTAATTGTTGAAAATTATTTTTAATTTAAAGAATCTGCTTTCAGTGCAGTGCATTCATAGATCATAACAACTTTATTTAACTTTTCTTTTTCCTTCTATTGCCTCCTGTTCTTTTGCCAATTACCTTTTAACTTTTTTACTTTAGCTTGCAGCCAACACAGAGCACCAAGATCCAGTTTTTAATGAAAACCTTGTAGTTCATTAAAATTTGTACAAAAGAATTGAAAAGTTTAAGTTAACATTTGTGAGTAGAGAGAATTTCCAAATTTCATGAACCTGTGAAGGAAACTCGGTGTCAAAATCTCAATTTGGCGCTTGTGTTTTCTCTCCAGTCATTAATTTAAATGGCTGAATAATTATGCACAGGGTACAGCCAAACTATTGATACTTCTCTCTATAATGTGCAAGATTCCCAACTGGTAGCCCAAAGTCTGAAATGGCCCTCCTACAATAACTGCTTGTAAAAGCCAGTACTCATTTATTGAATGGCAAGGTATATAATTCCCCAAAATTTGATTTTTGCTTTTGCCTCCCATCTCTCCTCTAGGACTAACCTTCCAAAAGAAGTCATGTCCTTTCCGGATTTTCCATTTGATAGTCAACTCCCTTCTTTCATCCATCATAGTGACGTGAGGTCATATCTGGAACAATATGCTGATCACTTTGAAATTCAGCCCCACATAAAGGTAACCATACTAGATTTTCCACTGAAGGGTTTGTAAAATGTTAAAATAGTGTTTGTAAATAAATGGAACAGAAATCAAACACAACACAAAATACTGCACTGCTGAGAACGTTAGGAATTTTCCCTTACTGGGAAGCAGTGGGGAAAATAGGCACATACTTGGACAGGTTGGTACCAAAGAGATACCCAACCCCTTCATCACCCAGCACCACCACCAATTAAGGCCTCTTGTGGTCAGTTATCTTCAGTCTGCAATAATTTGTGCAAGACCAAGGAACTGGACTTGGGTCAGGGAGTAGACCCTGAGAGGCACCCTCCTTCTATCACTTCCAATCCAGCAGCACCTTGTCTCCATGACCCTCAACCCCAGAACCTCCCCCAAATAATGCCTACTGTTTTTACTGCTGTCTAGGAGTCTGGAGGGTGGTGTTCCAGCAGCTGCCATGGTCTCTGTCATGGTATTGTCAAGTTCTAGAGGCATTGACTTCTGACAGCAGCTTCAGATGGGTGAGACTTCCTGCTCCAGGTTTAAGATCCAGTTGTCTTCCTGATCTGGGTAGGCTGTAGGGTTGTCTTCATGAAACATTCCCACTTTCACAGGAAAATACCAGCCATTATGTTTTCTCTGAAATCCTACTGTTGGATTTTAATTATTTTCTGTTCTTACCTGTCAATTTTAGTAGAATTTTTATGCAAAGTATAAAGATAGAAGTTCAGCTTTGGCAGTATGATAACATTTCAGTTAAAGCGGAGGTGACATTTTTAGATTAGCAAAACCATTGTTGCAGATAACAATCCTTTAAGTCTTTTTGCTAGGTAAAATTGTTAAGGGTTATGGAACAGGGCTGGTTAATGGAGTAGAGAATTAGATCACCTGTCATTTACTTAACTAATAGAACAGACTTGAGAGGGTAATGACCTACACTGCCCATTGCTATGTTATTTTCTTCTCTACCTTCTATTGTCTTTCAACATATTTCCTGTTGGTGAAACATTTCTCAAATAACGAGTTCACCAGCCTTCCTGTATTACTTCTAACAGATGTGACTCTGGATTTCTCCTTCCTTGTGGGAGCAAACTATTGAGGCCAATTCAGTGGTTCCTTATAGTAGATGATTGTGGGTAACTTAAATTAAAGGAATATTGAATATTAAAACAGATTGTAGACTAATTTATTTTTGGTCTGCAAGTTGGCTCTCATCTAATTTAGTCAGTTGAAGTATTTACCCATTCTCGTAAGGAAGATTAGCAAGAGGAACCTCAGAGGAAAAGTCTTTCGTTTTACAAAGGATTTATATTTAGATCGTTAAGAAATGTGTGATGATTTGGAAAATCTTTTCACAGTTTCGTACACATGTTGAACTGCTGAATCCTGTTTCTGGAACCACTGGAGATGCTTGGAATTCATGGGAAATAACATCTTTGAATCTGAACAATCATTGTCGTAATACAGAGAGATTTGATTCTGTTATTGTTTGTAATGGGTGAGTCTGCAGTATTAAATTTCAATAATGTGAAATGTTTATTTTTGTAGCCAAAATATTTAAAACAAGTCTAGCATTAATTTGTTTTCTCCACATACATTTTTCATGGAATTTTTACAACCAACTTTCTCACAGCCACCTTTTGGCTCAGAGCATCAAACAGGGTCTAAATGCTATTAGATGTGAGGTATTTTAGCAGTAAAATGAATTGTCCACTGATTTAATTGAATACCCTTATCATGGCTGAAAATGGCGAAATGAGGCTACTTACAGACAGTGCTCTAACAAGTGTGATTTGTTTTGACACTGGTGAATATACTTAATTGTTTATTTGTAAAAATAATATCATGTGCATTCCCCTCCAATCTGGCACAGATTGTAATAAAAATAATGGTGGGTCTATTAGCAGTTGACATTAATGATCCAGTAAAGTGGACAGCAACTTGTGGAGATCATTCAGGTGCAGTTAAACATGAAAATTCCAATATACTATTTTTCCTGCTTCTCCATTGTATTTGCTATACGTAATTTGCTTATAGATTCCCAATAAACATGTGAAGAACATGAGGTTGTGCTGCTTATGGGACTTTGGTTAACTTTTACTGCCCTTGTTTAATGGTTAAGGTTTGTGAATGCAGGTGTTAGTGAAATTTTTAATGGTATGTCAAGTTGTAACCACTATTGAATGATGTCTCTCACCGGCGCATTTCACTTGGAGTGCGATTCCTCAGAAGATCATTTTTTAAAAAAATTTATACTTTGTCTCTTATCTCTGTCTTAATCCGATCTCACTTGCCCATTTTTTTGTACATTATATTACATTTAAATATTTTAATATATACTTTAGGTCGAGACACTCCATGTTTACTTGAGGATTCTTTAATCTGATTGATTGAAGAAATATTTTGTTACTTGCTTTGCTTGTATATGCCAGAGTGATGGCCTAATGTTATTATCACTCGACTGTTAATCCAGAGACCCAGCTAATGTTCTGAGGGCCCAGGTTCGAATCTCATCATAGCAGATGGTGGAATTCGAATTTAATAAAAATCTGGAATTAAGAGTCTAATAAAGACCATGAAACCATTGTTGATTATTGAGGAAAAAGCTATCTGGTTCCCTGATGCGTTTAGGGAAGGAAACTGCTATCCTTACTTGGGCTGACCTACATGTGACTCCAAACCCACAGCAATGTGGTTGATTCTTAATTGCCCTCTAAGAATGGGCAACAAATGCTGGTCTAGCCAGCAACACCCTCATCCCATAATAAAAATATTAAGCACTAAGAATAATGGTAGGCATTAAGTACTTAATAGATGATAAAGTGAGAAACTTGTAAATCAAATGTACAGCTGTTAATTAATTGAATATTGGATTATAACCAGCAGAAATATCTAATATGAAATTTTGCTGTCCCTATACATTGCATAATATACTCATATTTTGTAAATCCTTGAGACTTCTTATTTATACAGCTGGTAAAATGTTATAATAATTAACTTCTTGGTATGTTTTAATTTATATTTTCAGCCATTATTCTGAACCTTTCATCCCACACATTCCTGAAATTGAACATTTCAAAGGACAGAAAATGCACAGTCATGAATACAGGTTTGCTGAGCCTTTCACTGGGAAGAATATGGTTCTGCTTGGTGCTGGTCCATCTGGAACAGATATAGCATTGGAATTGTGCTCAGTTGCAAAGCAAGTTGTCTTGATACACGATCATTCACTGATAACCTCATCAATGCCTCCAAATTTCCTGCAGGTCAAAGGTGTGAACAGATTTTCAGAGAAAGGAGTGATTTGTAACGATGGAATTGAATATCCTGCAGATGTATTCATGTTCTGCACTGGATATAAATATTCTTTTCAGTTTCTTGGAAAAAATGTTTGTTTAGAGGTCAAAGATCAAAGAGTTACTCCACTTTACAAACATATTGTTCATACAACCTTTCCAACTCTCTTTTTTATTGGTTTATGCATGACTGTTTGTCCTTTTCCTTTGTTCCACAGCCAAGTCTTGTTTGCTTTGGCATCTTTAGATGGTACCTATAAGATACCACCTAAAGTTGAAATGGATGCAATTACAGAGCATGAATACCAGTTCTGTTTGCAAAATGGAATTCCTCACAGACATTTTCATAAATTGGATAGTCGTCAGTGGGGCTATATTGCTGAGTTAGCCCAGTTATCCAAAACAGACTCCATACCACCTGTTACAAGGGATTTGTATGAAGCAAACAAGAAATTTAGAAACCAAGATCTGTGTAATTATAAAAGGTTTAACTACAAGATAGTAAGCCATGACACATGGATAACAGTGAAGCCTAAACCATTATAAAACTGACAGTCTGATGGATGGAAGATGCAAATCAAAGGAATGACAATCAACCAGCTAGATATGTTATGTGGAAACAATAGTGCAGTTTTTCCCATCTTTTCATTTGGATTTAGAAGATCTGCAGTGTTAAATATACAGTATAGAGGGAAAATGGGCAAAGATCATGCATCGCATGAAAGTCTGTCCATTTCTTGTCTATAAATTTAAGTAGATGGAATATTAGGAATACTTGCTCATTTATGATATGTATAGTCCTTCCTGTAGTTATTTTTTCTTCTGTATTTGTTGTACAAAAGCAAGCTTACTTACCCAACTGATCTAAATGGCCAGCTGTAGTAGCTGCAAAATGTGTTCAATGTGTTGTGTGTGCAAATACAAATTATTAGCATAAAAATGCAAAGAAATACTGTTGCAGAATACCATTCAATCCCATTTCTTGTAAAGCCTTAGGAACTATGCCATTGCATCAATTTGTTATTCTTTTGCTAAATGTTACTTGCTTCTTTTTGTTGCCAAAGTTTGGGATAAATCATTGATCCTGTATAAAGAAGTTGCTTAACTTAGACAGATGGCGGAGAATCAATTGCGGTTTCTCAGAATTACACTAACAAAATTCTAGAAAGTTTCAAGCTGGTCTTGATTTCAGGTCAAGCATGTAAGAATAAAGAAGAAATACGAGCTATGAGGTTTGTAAAAATCATATAATTAATTCTTTATTAAATGGGCAGCCCTATAGAGAGCAAATAAACCAAACATTACACAAGGTACCAAGACACCAATTGGAATTTTGCATTCAGTGGCAAGTATAAACCTCAGCTGGGTGTGTAAATAATCTATACCCTTTGGCCCTGATCCATAAACTATCCATCATACAAAATAAATGGGTCAGCTGGTCTACATCATTCATCTGTTAAAGGCTTTAAGTACTGTTAAAAATGGAATAATCTATTCCTTGCTAATTAGCTAAAATATTTGCACAAACACAATGCCATGATTTACCAAATCTGTCTTAGATTGCCAACATGTCTTAAAGAATGCATGCACCATATTTTCTACAGTAAACAGAACATAATGAATAAGCACAGTCATTTTTAACGGTTAGATCTTTCTCTCCTGATATTGGACACCTAAGCCTCCACGTTAATGACCAATTTGATATTTTCCCAGCCAGAAACCACATGAAGATGATGTGCTGGAGTCTACAATTCTGCAAAAGTATTTGCAGATATTATAAATATGCGTATCGTTGTTACATGCATATCACTTTTCACTTTACAAGCACACTTCTTTAAATTTTGAGATGATCAGCTGTAGGACTCTTTCACAGTAGCAGCCATCCTGGTTCTATTGAAAGACTGGGATTCTTTCGCACTGCCAATAATCATGGAATCATACTTGAGCAGAAACAGGCTTCCTGTGCTGGAAAATCATTACTGATTTTCATAAAATCTGCAAGCAAGAGCTGATGATGTGATGATGTAATTATGATCAGCTTTCATTGGAAACAATCAGAATGAAACAAAATTCTGTTTAAGTAGTAAGCATTTAACACGTTAAAATTAAAATAGAAAAAGTCAGTTTGTTTTTGATGTTTTATGTTTATATTGTCAAAAGTAGCATTCTGAATATTAAAGCAAAGTAGTGCAGGGTGCTTGAACTATTATGAAACTTTGAAAAGTGATTAATTTGAAATATTAACTCTGCTTCTCTCCACAGATGCTTCCAGACCTGCTGAATGTCTCAAGTATTTTTTAATTATAAATATTAGTTGGATACAGTAAAATAAAATTTGACATATAAATTTCTTTGTAAAAAATAGAATAAATTCTTGATTACAATATTCCCTTGCTATTGTAAGTTTTTATGAATGCATTCTAATTAAATGTAGCTAAACAATAATACATTCACATGCTGTTTGCATACTATGCATAGTGTTACAAAGTATTTCCAGCATAGAAACAGGCTATTTAGCCCAAAATGTCCATGCAGGATTTATCTTCTACACAAGCCTTCTTCATCCAATCTCAGCAATATATCCTCGTTGTATTTTGCATGTTTATGTAACTTTCCATTTAATGGAGCTATGTTCTGGGTAAACAAGCTCATCCTGAATTTTCTATTGAATTTATAAGTGACTATCTTACACTCACGGCTTAGTTTGGTCTTGTCCTCCAAGTGGAAAAAAAAAATTCTCTATCAAACTACTCCGTAAAGGCCAAAACTTAAATTCCTCCATCAGATCACCCTCAGTCTTTTGTTTTTGTTTAGAAAAAGGGATCCAGCCTGTTAAATTCTTCCTTGTTGAGACTATCTGTTTTCTATAATTTCAAAATATTTTTACTGTACTTTCTCTAATGCCTCTCTTTTGTTTTTTAAAAAATAACACTATGAAGATCAGAGCTGTTCAGTGTGCCAATTACGGTCCAGCAAAGCTTATATACTTTAACAAAAATTTAACATGCCTTCTCTGCTTTTCAGTTCAATCCCTCGACAACTGAAGCCTGATGCCTTGTTATATCTTTATTTTATGATGTGTAGAATACAGGTTATCTACATTGAAATTAATTTGCCAACTAGATGCCCATTATGCAAGTTTCTTAATATCTTCTTCAGTTGATTAATAGTTTCTGTACAGCTACCACATTTTGGGAAGTAGCATTGTACTATGGCAGTTATTCCCAAGGCTGATCATGTCACAACCTTAAATATTCTGTTGCCCAAGCATATTTAACAGTTATAAAATTTGTAGTTACAAATCCGCAATTCTAACTATGCTGGATGAATACAATCTGTCAAATGTTGACAAGAGTTTGTTGAATGCTAACAATATAGTAATGAGTCTGACACACGATATGAATTTAGCCTGATGACTGATAAATAGAAACAGAATTCCAGTGAAGGGTTAGATCATTGCATTGTCTCTAATATTGCCTTCAGCCTGTGAAAACCACCAAGAGGTAATGGATCTTTTAACCATGCAGTCATTTTCAAATAAATTAAAATGTCTGATATTGCTTTTGTTACAAAAGTATTACTTTTGTTTTTACAAAAATATAGTACTACTTGTCTCACAGGTCATTATTTAATGTTAGGATTGGCCAAAACTGCAATGCATTATGTAGTAGCTACCTACTTATAATATAGATTCATACAGATATTCAAATTAGGAGCAGAAGTAGGCCTCTCAGCCCCTCGAGCTGGCTCTGGCATTCAATAAGATAGTGGCTGATTGATTATTCCACATTCATTCCTATCCCCCCTAAACTTCACCCCCTGCCCCTTGATTTTTCAAGAACCTATTTACCTCTCAAAAAATATTGAAAGACTCTGCTGCCATTGCCTTTTGAGGAAGTTTTCCAAAGATGCTTGACCTATGTAGGGGGAGAAAAAAGTATTCTCTTAAATGAGTGACCATTTTTTAAACAATAACCCTGAGGTTTAGCTTCTACCACAGGAGAAAACATTCTTTCCGCATCCACACTGCCCAGATTGCTCAGGATTCATGATTTACATTACTGAGAAAATAACTTCGGAAAAATGTTGCTGCATATTTCTTTTTCTCTTCCCTTATTCCTATTTTGCCCTTAGCACTAGGTGCTCCTGAGAAGGCAGATGAAGGTAGTGTTCAGAGGATGAGATATCTTCGCTGATGACTGGTGAGTTTGCGCAGCTTGAGAACAAGTTGGGACAAGTGTCCCTTCCCTTATATACTTCTCCACGTCATAATTACATGGCTCAGAGAAAATTCATCTTCTGGAACTGTTGGGCTGGATTTCCATACGTCTTTTAGAGCTGACCTTAACCAGAATTCTCTCTGGAACTAAGTGTATTTTATCCACGTTCAAGACTTTCATTCACATGATGTTCCTTGGTAAAGAAAATACCCCGAAGTAAAAAGTTTCTTCCCAAACAAATAAACTTGAATTTTTTTTAAAAAACTCGCTTTTAAGTAGTTTGTCAGCAGTTATTGATGACGGCTTCTCATGGGGTCCTATGTAGGTTAATATCCAATGTGAATAAATCTTGGGCTAACTTTATTGTAAAGATAAATAATCAGATATGCTGAGTATTGAATTTAATTACATCATCGCTAACTCGTCTTGTGGGTGGGAATTGTACATCAAAAGAGAATTTGGGGTCGGAAGCTATAAGCAGACCTTGTTCCCTTAAGAAAAGACACTTTTTGGAATTGAGCACTCGTTTTCTGATGGGCGTGCAGACACAGTTCAATTAAATATTTTTCTTTTGGTGGATTTTTTTCCCCCCTCTGCTATCGGAAACTCGTGTGAAGTTTAAATACTCCCGACGGGACTCTAGCAAGCGGATCTCTATCTCCTAATTGGGATGGGGTTTGTTATTATTAAACAGAGTCCAGCTGGTCTCCACTTGCAGTTGCGATCAGATTCTAATCGCATCGCCTCAAAGTGATATGCAGCAGCACCTCCGTACACCTAATAAACTGTGGATTCACAGTCTCTCTTCTGATATCAGGATTTAGGTATCTTATGTGAGTGCTGCCAGCCAGAACCAGCAGTTGGTGATTTCGGAGTCACGTGATTTAAATTGTCTTGTAAAAAGAATTGCACGGTCTCAGGAAAGGTTTATACCTTGCAATTTAATTTTTAAAAAGTATGGCAATTATTAACCATTTTTTTTCTGTTGCAGTGTTTCTTCATGACTAGGCGGTGTTTAAGGATTTTGGGTTTTTTTTCCCTTTGTTTAAAATATAAAATAATTTTGGGAACACAATGAAATTGAGTTGTAATAATAAATCCTTCCAGGTTTTTTTTGTTTGTATTTGACTTTTTGACAATAGAATTGTAAAGAAGGCTCATGTCCAGATGGTGTCTCTCCCGTTAGCACTGGCTGTTTCGAACAAAGCAATCTATCAATCATCTTGGATGATTCCCAACTCACATTATTTCAAACAGGACACGCTTTGTAGATGTACAGAAAGGAACAAATTATATGCTATTCACACAAAATAAAGAAACATACACACATGAATCTATATGCCACATTTCTAAGGATGACTATTTTTGACAAGTTAAGCCGATCTGATTTGCTGGCAATGGGCCGGAAGAGAAACAGTAGAGCTAATTAGATTTACTGCGAGTTACAGGCAGCACACCATGAACACATTTTCATGATTAAAGCGACTGCCATTGCATTCTATGTCTCACCCACCTATGCCCCCCCTTTCAAATCAAGCTACGCAGCCTTGGATGAAAATAATGATCACGAGGAAATGTAATCAGAAAATAGCAGGCTAGCTAGAATGATTATATTCTGCCTCGAGGCTGGTTTGTCCTTATTGATGAATGTTATCACTTAGTAACGTGCAAGCGCACACATTCAGTGCAATCAGAAATTGTTTACGTAACCGGCGAGATTAAACAGTTCAATTTCATTTAAAAAAAGACTTGTTATAGTTTATAATGCATGTCTCCGTCTTAACACTATTTGTATCATTATGATTCAATAAATACAACGCCGCCGTTTACTGACCACCCCGCTAATTGATAAGGAAGAAGTAGGCCTCCAGCCCTCCAAGAGCAGAATACAAATCAATTCGGCAACATAAATTGCAGTAAAAATAAAATGTATACAATATTTATAAAACTACATCACAGAGAATTGTTTATTTTATTCTTTAAAAGAAGCGGTATCCGCTAGAAGCAATAAATATTAGTGTTTTCTTTAAAAAATAATAAACATAAATACCAAAATTCAGATGTAAATGTACACAGACCCCCATCCTCAGCATAACTAACACTGACCATTTTCTGAATGCACAGAAGCACGCCCGATGAAGCTATATAAAAAAAATCCCAGCGTTGAGAGATTAGCCTGGTCTCTTAGCAGTAACAGATCCGAGCAATGGGATTCACTAAGTGTACATTAACATTACGCAAGATCCTGCGCCTTCAATCCATCGAGAAGGGGCGAGAGGGACCCTGTTCGCTCGAACAGGGTTTTAGAAATCAGGACTCAGGACACAGAGAGAGAGAGAACCGTCTCGGTAGATCCCTTGATTCAGCACCATCTAGTCCAGATTACTCTGACAAAACAAGCATCCTCCCTCCAGCATTAGAGCAATGCTGCAAGATTGGAAAAAAACATCAGGTCTGTTGTTTTTCTCTTGAGGTGTCGAGACGCATTGCTGTGCCAAAAGGCGTAATCCTCCTAACCAACTGAATCTCGTCGTTTCTTTAGAAGATTTCCTTATAAATATGACAGCATTTCTGAATAATTATCGCAGGCGGTCGAGTCCCAGATGACTGGATTTTTGTAGTAACCGACCGTTGGGTAATTTTTGCTGGATCCGTTATCTTTGTTGAAGGCGTTGCTTGTGTTTCTTCTTTCTTGTTTGTTTGTGTTTTGTTGCCCGGCTGCTTTAATTGTCCAGGCGCCTTCTTGCTCTGAATTGTGATCCTCATTTCATGCATGTCCAGGGGTGGCAGGTTCGATTTTGACGATGGAGGGTCGTATTGTGGAGGTTGGGAAGATGGCAAGGCTCATGGACATGGCATCTGCACCGGCCCAAAGGGCCAAGGGGAGTACGCGGGCTCTTGGAGCCATGGCTTCGAGGTGGTTGGAGTGTACACCTGGCCAAGTGGTAATACCTACCAGGGGACATGGGCACAAGGGAAGAGGCATGGCATCGGAGTGGAGAGCAAGGGAAAGTGGGTCTACAAGGGCGAATGGTGCCATGGTTTCAAAGGACGATATGGGGTTCGGGAGAGCATTGGCAGTGGAGCCAAGTACGAAGGGACCTGGAACAATGGACTACAAGATGGGTACGGAACAGAGACCTACAGAGATGGAGGTAGGAAAAGAAAAAAAACTTAAATCAGTGTTTCAATGAATCCTTATTTGTAAAATTAAAGGTTGGAGGAGAGAAACATGGTGGTAGTAATAAAGCTATATTCAAACGTTTTTGGGCGTGCCCAAAAGTTGATAATTGGAGGCAGCTATCTTAAGGGGATTCCAGGACCAATAACGCTGCGTATAATGTATGAAATTGTCCTCAACTCTGAAACATTTTCCATTTCAAGTTCTAAATTCCAAATTGAGGACGTGTGAGATTTTCGAATCGGCCAATCTTACTGGTTGGTGAAACTGGAGAACTCAATTTCAGGCCCAATTCTAAAGAACAGCTACAATATTTGGTGTCTGACCATAACAGAAAGAGAGAATCGGTGCATGACCAAGAGGCGAAAGCTACAAAAAAACCCCGAAAATTAATATTTCCACTCCTGTTGATAAAAGTGCACCCAAGGTTGGATTCCTAACAGACCCATGACAGCAAATTTGTTCAACCGCCACCAATTGCTAAAGGGAGGGAAACTTGACAAAAACCGAGTGAGGATGATGCTTATTAGAATACATAAAACGAGAATATTGTCAGATCAAGGGAACGTGGGATGCAATGCAAGAAATTGACCCACAAAACACTGTTATATTAATATTATTAATCTGCAATACCAGATGTGGATGATTGGTTGGTTTTCCACAGTAACAGAAAACCAACACCAGAAAGAAACATCATTTTGAATGTGCATGAAGCAACCATTAAGCTAGACAAGCAAAGAAAACCATGAACTGTAATCACTGGGTTCCAGACAGGAATGAGAAGACAGGTTGAGGTAAACGCCAAGACATCCTGATAGGCTAGTGATGACTAGGCAAAGATTTCAATATAAAACGCGGGTCTGCTGAGTTTGCAGAACCCTGTAATTATTGCACCTAAGGTTTCGAATTATACACCCAAACTCCGTTTGTGTTGCCTTGGCGACCGTACAACACGTTTTCCGCATCGTGCATTGTGGAATAATTTATTCTTAGCGCTATTGTGATTGTGGAGCTACTGTGTATAGATGTCATCTGAAGGAGTAGAGATACTATTGGTTTTGCTTCAACTTTGCATGGAATAAACTGGCATAAGGATTTAAGCCTCTTGGCGATGGTCATAGTAAAGTCATCGTGCCACCAAACACCAATGTGAAACACGCAAGAGATAGATAATAAGCCTACTTATAAATGCCAGACCCATTCAACGGAACTGATAACATACACAGATTAATAAAACATTGAATTATAGATATCGTGGCACAAAATAAAGGGATAGTTGTTTAGGACCAAGAAAATTATGTGATGCTGCTAAAATAAAGATTTGTGAAGAGTATATAGCCAATTATTAATTTATAAGAAACTGTAAACAAGTTTTTTACTGGATGACTCCGATTACACAACGCTATGGGTTTAAATTACAAAAAATACGATGGAAACGGAAGTTACTTGGATGAAAACAAAAGCGAACGTAATCAGAAGGATGTCAGAAAATTTATGAATTACCCAATTCCCGCAGTAGACAGTGCACATGGAAAACTAGCATCTGGGGGTGGAAACTATCACCTCAACCTGAACTAGGGAAAAACCTCACAATTATCGCCATACTATCTTGCATATCCTTGTAGGAATGGGCAAAACGGACTAACCGTTTTTATTGCCCAGCTCACCGAGCCTGCGGTAAAATACGTCAATTTGAAGTAATGTTAATTTGTTGCAGATGTTTTCCTTTATTTCTGGAAGCACTCTTCCATCTGCCCGTCTGTAGGTTTTATATGAATTGGAGGGGGAAAATACACTCACTTTTGGACCAACCTCTTGAACCAAGCTTTTGTCCATCTGCTCCAATATTGCCTTATATCTCAGTAACAGTTTTGTTATATAACGTTCCCGTGAAGCGTTTTGGGACGTTTCATTGCAGTAAAAGGGCGATATAACAAGTTGTTGGTTTACACTGTGACCATTGGTCTCTTAAGGTGAAGATAGGAGGAATATATATCTATATCTAAATAACTTAAGATATAAACAAATAACTTGTGTCCCACACACTAGACTATCTTCTGATCTGGAGCCAGAAATTTATAAGAACTCACCAGTCTACAAGCCTTCCTGGTCAACAACGATTAACCAGTAATTGACTTTAGGATTTACAGCAATTCAACTTTGTAGTTTAAAGGGTCAGGTAATTAAACACAACTGAATAATATATAGCCTGGTATAGCACCTCTTCATTGTAAAACAGAATAGTAACTGTATCAATCTATTAGCGATAATAAACCATGTTTCTAAACATAATAGGATTCTTCATCTTATTGTTTTAAAATTTTATTAAAAACACAATATACCAGGATTAAATCACATGCAATAAAATGCTGCAAACATCTATGTAATAAACACAATAAATATGGAAGAGAAAATGTCTTATAATAAACTGAAAAAAAACATGGTACCTTGTGATTATCTTGACTGAAATTTTGTACAGAAATCTACTGTTATATGGTGGTTAAATTTTCAAAAAAAATGTATTGCTTTCAAAAATACCTTTGCCATTAGTTGTTTTTTTCAAAATGGTTTCAATTGGAGGAGAAAACCTTAATGGCAAAGATGTTAGGATTTGAGTATTAAACATAAACCATGAAACAAGAACAAATAAAGGCAAAAAGTATGCAAGTAGAGTCAACATTAATAGTAATACCTATACCTGAAGTAAAATATGAAACTAGCTTACAATAAAATCAGTTCTGAGGAAGGGTCACCAGACCCGAAATGTTAACTTTGCTTTTTTCTTCATAGATGCTGCCAGACCTGCTGAGCTTTTCCAGCAACTTTGTTTTTGTTCCTGATTTACAGCATCTGCAGTTCTTTCCATTTTTATTTACAATAAAATTTGGCTGACACACGAAACACATAGCGCTTAAATTATGATTTACTTAAAAAGCACTAATTCTCGAAATGATGCCACCAGGGCATATTTGCACCTTTCAGAAAACTGCTTTCTGTAATTCAGTAGCTTTAGACTAAAATGGTCTCAAAGTAGGATCTAAATCCATTGCCATACCTGTTATGCGGCCAGCTTAACTTTGAAAGATGCTTCTTCTCAGGTGTCCAATTGTTTCAGACAATGGACTTCTTCTAACATTGGTCCAATGATCTAAACAGGACATTGATTGCCATTTTAGTAGAATCGGTCAGAAACTATACAGGCTGTAGTGTGTTCTATGGCTGAAGAAGCCAGAAATGTCTTCCAAAAGTAAATGTCACTTTATATTCATGAGTCCAAAATGTTTAAAATGAGCCATTTCACTTCAGTCCAGCACCTCTAACCTACACAATCACCTTTACCTCATCGCACGCCCTTCTGCAACTTACATTGATGGTGGTCAATCTGGATGATCTTGATGCCTCAATCAGATGAGTTGCACCATAGCAACTGTTTAGGCCTCACAGAATATGAATCCCAGTCCTAGACCTACAAAATTTAACTGAGGGCTAGGATTCAAATTCTGGTGCTTCATGGTCACTGAAACAGGCAGGAAACCAATTCTGTCATTGGGTCACGCAAACATCAAAAGCACCCACATGAGTTTAAGAGATAGTGGGAACTGCCGATGCTGGAGAATCTGAGATAACAAGGTGTAGAGCTGGATGAACACAGCAGGCCAAGCAGCATCAGAGGAGCAGGAAAGCTGACGTTTCGGGTCTGGACCCTTCTTCAGACCCGAAACGTCAGCT